CAGGTCAGCGGATTCGCAGAGTGTCCTCACCCACAAGTGAGACGCAGGGCCACTCCACCCAAGGTGCCACTGCATCTAGCAGTGCAGTTTCTATCAAATCTCATCATACTTCTAATATCCTAATATTGACTAAAGGGAACCTGCTGTCCCCTGGGTCCGCGCCCATAAAAGCGCCCAGCCCACCGCCGTCTACCTTGTTGGCCTCGTCAATTTCCGATGCTAGCGACTCGGATGACGATAGCAGCTCGAGCGATTCAGACGGTACGGAAACGACTCAGATTCAATGCTTCAATGTTTTTGAATCGCTCTTGTTTCAGCCGAAGATTGAAGAATGTCGCCCACTTCAAAATGTCACACCAATCTGACACTAAAAAATGTCTTTGCCTGAGTGACGCCTAGGTCGGAAGAGTTGTAGAACGGCTCCACAATCAACGGCCAGGCCCTCTCAAGACTAGACTTCGAGCTTTACAACTAGAGCTTTGCATTTAGGTAAAGACTGACGAGAGCCATCTGCAGCGATAGCGCCTTCAGAGCAAGCAACTGAATGTGGGGACTGTGAATGAGACCCTCACCACAAGCTAAGCGCCGCCCTTGCGGGAAGGTTGAAGCAGAGGAAGGTATCAAATTAGAGATGCTTGATGGATCTCTCGAGAGCTCAGACACTCTTGACTAGGTTCTGTGTTCAGCCCATGCACTGAGGATGCATGCCCTTAGTATGAGTCTGAGCTCAGTCAACCATTGGCTCCCAGTCGCAATGTGGACAAGTGACATGTAGTCGAATGCTTACTGGCAGCCAAGTCCAGAAAAGCAGACATGCGAGTAACGGGGGCTTGTGTAAAGGTGAAAGCTGTTGGTGAAAGCGGAGCAAAATTGGCTGAGAGACTTGCAAAGAGGATGCGGCAATGTATGCGAAGCTATTTGCGTGATGCTCACATTCAGCACCACAAGTGCCTGGCGTAGTGTTCAGAAGCAGCCAACGCTCAAGTGTGAGGTCATGTAGTATCCGAGACGACGACTGTAGTCAAGAAGATCAGCATAAACTCTGGACCATCCTTTGCTCATGAGCAAGATGCCAGCATCAAGCGTGGGCAAGTGGGATCAGGGGTCGATTTGGATATGCCACAAGCAGAAGAGGTCAGGATGGCTTGCGGGATGAGAGCAACATGTTGGAAACAAGTTTGGCAGGTAGGAAGATAGGTGTTGCAGCATGGCTAGGACGCCGCAGTAGAGTTCAAGCCCAAAGCGCATCCAATGAGCGCAACTTGCGTTGCCTTTGAAGCTTTGCCTCGATTCCCGGTAAAAGTGCTAATCTTTGCGGACTTTGGTCACGTTGTCAGCAGCACTTTTAAGATGCTCGACGAAAATGCTGAGCTTGTTCTGGATCAGGCATAGGGTAACAGGAGTGGAGGGTTACTGGCCATGTGAGAGGCAACCTTGGAACTCAATTGATGCGTATCCAGGAGCAGCTCTGTCCAAGGCGCACTGCACATCTCATGATCAATGAGATCAAGATCATGACAAAGAATGCTCATAGAGGTGGAACTACCAGTACCAACAGCAAGTCTATAGTATGCGCGGATAGAAATGCTCTGGAGTGATTGCCCAATATTGGACAGTGTCCGATCAAATGCTCAATAATGGTCAACAAGGTGCTTGTAACGAAAGGTGTTGACCGCCACGGCCCTTTAAGAGGAGCGAAGGCGCTTCCTCTGCCAGAGCTTGGTAGGTGACCGCCAGGTCTTGACTGGCATTCTAAAGCATACTCTCATGTTTGTAAAGCAGATATGATCTGCCATTGATCATTGTAGTGATGGCTCCATCAAGGACAGCGCGGAGTCGTGACGTCAAAGCGAGGCGAGCATTGCCAAGGTCCAAAGGAGTGTTTGAGAGGATCATGTGCACTGCAACGGCAAACATTCTGGCAATCACTTCCTGGTGTTCTTGTTGCGTTGCAACATCACTGATCGGAACATGCAGAGAAAGAGTGGTGATGACTGGAACCGGCCAGTCAAGGAGGCCAGAAATCGTTACAATGTCGGGGATGGCATTAAAGGGGTGGGTCATGTCATCAACAGGAGAGGCAGCACAGATGCGTCAACTGAGGTGTTGAAAGGCAGGGTGGATGGAGAATGTGCACCCGGCACGCAGAGCCTTGTCGTAAAAAAGGTTGTAATCTTCACCAATGGGAATGAAGAGGGCAGTCCGGTTGTGGAGCGGCTTACCCTTTCCTCGAAGCCATTGGCAAAGGTCGTCAATGTTGGCGAGTTGCATCGACTTGAAGTCCAGCTCCAAGTTTCTGCTGGCCCCACCGAGGGTGGAGAGCCAGAGCTCGGCATCATTGCGCATTTGTAACTTGTTGTCAAGCATTTGTCGCATTCTTGTAATCGTAAATAAGAGCCCACCTTCACCCATCTGATCCACCTCG